ATAACTAGTACATATGTGCGAGGGGAACCTTTACCTTTACCTTTTTACATGCACCGATAGGCAGACACATGCACGAGCTATCATTGAATTGGTGTCCCACTCCCTCTGCTGGCCTGCTTGTGTTAAAAACCTAGGAGGTGGTTCACAATTTATATTTTCCGAAACGAGATCATTGCACTCAGAAACAGTTCTTACTTTAAAAAATACAACAGCACCCAACTAAGAAGTTTTCCAAAGAGAAGCAGCAATGGAACCAGAAAGTTAGTCCACTACATTCAGGATGCCAAAAACCAGAGATATTGAAGAGGGCCCAGAGTTGGGTGCCCAGAGCATCCTTCCCAAAAAGAAGGTAATCTGTTGGGAACTATCAAGATTGACAGGGAAAGTCCTGGAAGACTAGGAGGTGGATGGCAGGTCTCCGTTCCAGAGTTCTGATACAGATGGTCCCAAATGGTAAATCAGAATAGCAGATGATGGGCAGCTGCATCTGGTCTTGGACTGCTTCTTCAAATTGCTTTATTTCTTCTTCTTTTTTCTCTCTTTCTTTCCTCTCCTCCTTTCCTTTCACCCCTTCTCATTCCTTTCCTTTCCCATTCCTTTCCCTTTTTCCTTTCCCTTTCCTTTCTCATTCCATTCCTTTCCTTCTTTCCCTTCTCATTCCTTTCCTTTCTCATTCCTTTCCTTCCCTTTTTTTTCCTTTCCCTTTCCTTTCTCATTCCATTCCTTTCCTTCTTTCCTTTCTCATTCCTTTCCTTTCCTTCTTTCCTTTCTCATTCCTTTCTTTTCTCATTCCTTTCCTTTCCCTTTCCCTTTCCTTTCTTTTTCCCTTTCCCTTTCCTTTCTCATTCCTTTCTTTTCTCATTCCTTTCCTTTCCCTTTTTCCTTTCCCTTTCTTTTCTCATTCCTTTCCTTTCTCATTCTTTTCCTTTCCCCTTTTCCTTTCTCATTCCTTTCCTTTCCTTTCTCAGTCCTTTCCTTTCCTTTCCCTTTCCTTTCTCATTCTTTTCTTTTCCCATTCCTTTCCCTTTCCTTTCTCATTCCTTTATTTTCCCATTCCTTTCCCTTTCCCTTCTCATTCCTTTATTTTCTCATTCCTTCCCCTTTTTCTTTTCCCTTTCTTTTCTCATTCCTTTCCTTTCTCATTCGTTTCCTTTCCCTTTCCTTTCCCTTTTTCCTTTCCTTTCTCATTCCTTTCCTTTCCCTTTCTTTTCTCATTCCTTTCTTTTCCCATTCCTTTCCCTTTTTCCTTTCTCACTCCTTTCCCTTTTTCCTTTCTCATTCTTTTCCTTTCCCCCTTTCTCTTTCTCTTTCCCTTTCCTCTCTTTCTCTCACAGCTTGAGTTGTTCCAGCCATTCTTCAAGGACAACTCCTAAAATCATGCAGGACAGCAGCCCAGCCCCTTAAATATGCCCTTGGTGCGTTTTTTTTTTAAAAAAACTCTGCAAAAACCTAGGTATTTTACCAGCTCAATCAACCAAGTTAAAGTGAGGAAAGGCATTTGTCATCCCAAATGGAATTGACATTGATTGATTGCTGCTGAGTGACATTCCCCCAACCCACTCCGCATGCTAATGAAAGAAAATCAATTGGAACCACAGCAGGAGGTGAGGTTTTGAGCTGGGATACAGCCTGTGTGTCAGCAGAGATCACTTTCTAAATAGGGACAGTGAGGGGCTTTGCATTGGAGCATCCAAACAAAAGCTGATTTTTGGAAATTCAATGTGTTTTGCTCTCCGTAGCTGAGCGGGGAAGGACCTCAGGAGGAAATGGAACTAAAAAGCTAAAGGTAAACGTGCTACTCGTTCCCAACTCTAGGGGGCGGTGCTCATCTCCGTTTCAAAGCCGGAGAGCCAGCGCTGTCCGAAGACGTCTCCGTGGTTATGTGGCTGGCATGACTAAATGCCAAAGGCGCACGGAATGCTGTTACCTTCCCACCAAAGGGGGTCCCTATTTTTCTCTTGCATTTTTTATGTGCTTTTGAACTGCTAGGTTGGCAAAAGCTGGGACAAGTAATGGGAGCTCACTCCGTTACGCAACACTAGGGATTCGAACTGCCGAACTGCCGACCTTTCAATCCACAAGCTCAGCCACTGAGCCACCATGTCCCTGAGATGGATAGATCAGGGGTCAGCAACCTGCAGCTCTGGGGCTGCATGTGGCTCTTTCATCCCTCTGCTGCGGCTCCCTGTCGCCGGTCAGCTCCACAATTGATAGGGCTTTTGGTTAGGACAGATAAAGGAAAAAGGATGCCACGCTAGGAGGAGACTCTATGGTGGGGGAACCGGACTGCCAGTTGGCTCTAGAATTGAATGGGGGGCTTCCGGTTAGGATCTTTGTGGCTCTTTGAGTATTTAAGGTTGCCGACCCCTGAACTAGATGGTTGCAATTAAAGAACTGTGAAATTGTGGGATTTCGCTCTTGAATTCAGGAGGATGCCAAATAAAAGCATATTTGTTTGTTTATTCATCAAACAAAGATTACAAATTCAAATGAACAAAATGAAGGGGAAAAAAAACCCCTAAAATGTGACAGGAGTGATAGGAAGTAGTGTGGTGGCCTAGAGGTGGAGCTCTCGCCTCACAATCAGCAGGTTGTGAGTTCGATCCTAGGTAGAAGCAGTTATTTCTCTCTCTGGGCACGATGAGAATATATCTGCTGAATATATAACTCCTCATTGGCAACAGGAAGGGCACCCGGTCAGTAAACACTCAGCTCCATTCAGTTGTTCAGACTCCATCCTGCAAGGCAGGGGTGCTAATTCAGCAGGTTCTGGAGAACCGGTAGTGAAAATTTTGAGTAGTTCGGAGAACTGGCAAATACCCCTGGCCCCAGAGTGGGGTGAGAATGGAAATTTTGCAATATCCTTCTCCCAGGAGCGGGGAGGGAATTTTGCAGTATCCTTCCCCTGCCATGCCCACCGAGCCACGCCCATAGAACCGGTAGTAAAAAAAAATTGAATTCCACCACTGAAATAGACCCAATGAGATGAAGCCTCCATCTGATTTGGTTCCTGGTGACTTTATCCAGGACACATCCATAAATCTCTAAACTCTACAAAGAGTGCAGAGAAGAGCAACCAAGAGGATTAGGGGACTGGAGGCTAAAACATACGATGAACGGTTGCAGGAACTGGGCATGGCTAGTCTAGTGAAGAGAAGGACCAGGGGAGACATGATAGCAGGATTCCAATATTTGAAGGGCTGCCCCAGAGAGGAAGGGGGCCAAGCTATTTTCCAAAGGACTTGAAGGCCAGACAAGGAACAATGGATGGAAACTGAACAAGGAGAGATTCAACCTGGAAATAAGGAGAAATTTTTTGACAGTGACAGCAATCAACCAATGGAACAGAAGTTGCCTTTGGAAGTTATGGGAGCTTCATTACTGGAGGCTTTCAAGAAGAGACTTAACAGATGTTTTTCAGAAATGGTGTAGAATCTCCTGCTTGAGCAGGGGGTTGGACTAGATGACCTAAAAGGTCCCTTCCAACTTTTTAAAAATCTAATCTAATCTAATCCATGTAATTTTCTTGACAGCAATATTTGATTTTTTTTTTCTTTTATTTCCTACAGCCCTGATATTTCTTTTACATCTCCCAAGATGCTTCGTTTCTGAATCCACCCAAGATCTCCAGCTGGCTACCGGTTCGAGGCCACTGAAAGAAACACACTTAGTGTTTTGGTATTTGTTGCTTTCGACTTTTGAGACTCAACATGCATTGAAATCAACAAGAGATATAGCGCTTTGCCTTTCAAATGGAAACAATGACATTTGTTGTGCCTGGGCATACTTTTGTAACTTTGTACTGAATTTTGAAACGTAAATAGGATACCTGATCCAGTTCTGATGCTGTTCATGCAATGGCCAGCAGGTGTCCCCATAAACCTATTTTTACAAATTCTTTTATCTTTTTTTTACAACCCTGGAAATTTAGCTCAAGTAGGTTCCATTCTGTAACTGTAAAAAAGCTTCTAGAGCTTTAATGAATTTATATCATGCCCCCAAAAAACAAACAAACAAAAAACCCTACAGAGGAATGTCTCTGAGACTAAACTTGACTCAAAGATGACTTTATTTTATTTTATTTTATTTTATTTTATTTATTTATATGCCGTCCTTCTCCGGAGACTCAGGGAGGCTTACAATGTGTTAAGCAATAGCCTTCATATTTTTGTATATTTATACAAAAGTCAGTTTATTGCCCCCATAATCTGGGTCCTCATTTTACCTACCTTAGAAAGGATGGAAGGCTGAGTCAACCTTGAGCCTGGTGAGATTCGAACTTGCAGTAATTGCAGGCAGCAGATGTAAGTGGATGCTAATAACAGTGCTTTAGTCTGCTGAGCCACCAGAGCACCCTACTTTAATGTCTTCCATGTAAATTCTGGGGTCAAATGGAGAAGGGGTTTGTATTAAAGAGATCAGATCCAACAGAAACGATCAGATAATAATCTCCACAAATGAAAGATGACTCACCCTATGCCCAGGCTGGAAAATAAACCATTTAACATATTAAACATATCTTTTTGTTCTCATTCTCTTTTCGGGTACACAGTGCCTATAAGGCAGAACCCACTGCTTGTGCATCACAAGAGGAATAATGGATTGAGAAATTCAGAAAGTAATCCTGAGCAAGTACGAAAAAGTATGCTGTGATTTGACAGATATTTTTTTTAAAAAAGTTATGTTTTTAGCTGTCTGGACTCGCTTTTATTTTTTAGGCGGGGTTCCCAACTTTCTCCCAAGCCCGACCCCCCCCAATTTCCCTCCATGAAGTCCACACAACAACCCTGCTTAGTAGGCCAACATCGCGCGTAATGAGACTGAAACGGGTCCCTTTTGCGCGCCTCGCTCCTGAACGCTTTTGACGGGCAGCCAGGGAGAGGCGGATTTTTTCCTCTCTCTCTCTCTCTCTGTGTGTGTATATATGTGCATGTGTGTGTGTGTGTGTAGCTTTTTTTTTTTTTTTTTTTTTTTGTGCGCGTCCGTTTCCTTCCCCAAAGCGGTCCATTCCCTTTTGGCCGCTGGGCAAGCTTGCGCCCCGGACGGAGCCGCGATCCTAAAAGTTAAGAGCCGCGCCGTCCAACCGCGCCCGCATTAAGTGGGTGGAGGGCGAGCTTTCTTTGGCGACTAGGGCTGGGCTGACCCCGAGGAAATTTCCTCTCCCTTCCTTCCAGCGGTGCCCGGGAGAAGCAAAAGCGCGATTTTGAGAAGCCCGAAGAAGGGAAGGGGAAAAGAAAGAAAGAAAGAAAGAAAGAAAGAAAGAAAGAAAGAAAGAAAGAAAGAAAGAAAGAAAGAAAGAAAGAAAGAAAGAAAGGAAGGAAGGAAGGAAGGAAGGAAGGAAGGAAGGAAGGAAGGAAGGAAGGAAGGACCTTTGGCCGTCGTCCAGAATCTCCAACCGGTCGCCCGCGCGCTCTGCGGAGTTTTCCCCCGCTTGGCAAGGAGGCGCGCGTCCCGAGAGAACCGTGGAGGGTTTCCACGGGCAGCTCCACCTCCGGCTCTTCCGACGGGGCGAGAGAGGCTCTTCTGGGCTGCTTTAGCGGACGTGCTCCAAGGATCCCCGAGGAACCGACGGGGCGCCCCCCCCCACTGGCTTTTCCACCCCGTTTTGCGTCCTGGCGCCCGCCGGTCTCCTCGAGGCGGCCAGGCGATGCCTTTTTGGAAGCGCACGGTGGAACCCCGGCGGCTGCTCCCTTCGCCGGCCGCTGCCCCACATCTGGCCGGGTTGCCGCTGGCCCAGCTGCACGAGGTGTGCGGCTTGACGACGCTGGCCCTGCTCCGCCAGCTGGCCGACCTGTGCGGCCACTCGGCGGCGCTGCTGGGCGAGCTGGAGGGGCGCCTGCTGGAGCTTTCCAGACGCGCCCACCGCCTGCGGGGGCGCCTCCGCCGGGTGCGTGGTCTGCTCCGCCCGGGGGCTTCTTCGGAGCCAGGTAAGAAAGAGGGGAGGGGGGAGAGAAAAGAAGAGAGGGGAGGGGGGAGGAAGAAGAGGAGCAGGAGGTTGGGGGGGGGGGAACCAGCGAGAAACCCCTCCCGGCGAAAGTGGGGTGGGGGACGGTGCTTTCAACACCCCCAAGGAAACACGGAGGGAAAGCTGCGCGCAAAGAAAAAGGGCAGTGGGCTTTCTCCGATGTCCCAAACCATCACGGGAGGGGGGGATTTTCAAGATGAGATGATAGATGATAGATAGATAGATAGATAGATAGATAGATAGATAGATAGATAGATGGAAGAGGAGGAAGAGGAGAAGGAGGAGGAGAAGAAGAAGAAGAAGAAGAAGAAGAAGAAGAAGAAGAAGAAGAAGAAGAAGAAGAAGAAGAAGAATTTTCATTACTAAGAATATTCTGTAAGCAGCCTTGAGTCTCCATGGGCGAATAGGCAGATAGATAGATAGATAGATAGATAGATAGATAGATAGATAGATAGATAGATAGATAGATAGATATGCTTTCTTCTCTTATCATATATATATGCTTTCTTCTCTTATCGTAGGTTTTTGTATGTATTTTTCTTCAACCGGGTATTTTCCTCCGTAAACCAAGTTTCTCAACTTGCAGCCATAGCTCAGTGAAATCACATCCACTATCCTAGGCTTCTTCAGACAGCAAGCAAGCAATAGGCAAAATGCTTGCTTGCTGTCTGAAGAAGCCTAGGATAGTGGATGTGATTTCACTGAGCTATGACTGCAAGTTGAGAAACTTGGTTTAGGTAGGAAAATACCCGGTTGAAGAAAAATACATATATATATATAGATGACGAAAACATATAGATGACGAATACATACATATATGGATGACGAATGAGACTTCGTCGAAACGTCACCAAGACACTTCCAATTTTACACGGGAGAAAACCCGAATAACCAAAGACCTACATATGTATGTATGTATGTATGTATGGCTAAACCTGGCTAAAGAGAAATACTCATAAAGGCCTATGAAAAGGAAAGAAAACAAATACTGTACCTTTACAGGGAGGATACATGGGATGAGGGTGTGGCTGATGAGGACTTATTAGTCCGAAATAGATCTATCTTAGTCTCCTTAGTCTCCCAATGGGCAGCAGAGTGTTTGCTGGCTGCCAGGAAAAAAAAGCCTAGAAGTTTACGTAGGAAGAACATGGCTAAAGAGAAATACACATAAAGCCTACCAAAAGGAAAGAAAACAAATACTGAACCTTTACAGGGACGATACATGGGATGAGGGTGTGGCTAACTGATGAGGACTTATAAGTCCGAAATAGATCTATCTTAGTGTCCTTAGTCAGCTGGTCCTTTGCATCGTTTTAGAGCAAGAAGGTCTTCAAACTTGGCAGCTTTAAGACTTGTGGACTTCAATTCCCAGAATTCTCTAGCCAGAATTCCCAGAATTCTCTAGCACAGCATAGCATAGCTGGCTGGAGAATTCTGGGAATTGAAGTCCGCAAGTCTTAAAGCTGCCAAGTTTGAGGACCTCTGTTTTAGAGGGGCCTTGAAGCACTTGGAAGTTTATCTCTGTCCTCAGGGTCACCTGAGTAGTGCAAATGGTTTCTGTAGTCTGCAATTTTTTCCCCTCTGGAAATCCATTCCTACTCCCACACCATTCCAAGGGTGTTCATCCCAAATTGTGTAGCTAAAAGACTGTGGAGATTCTCAATCATCCAGGTCATGGTTCTCCCAAAGATGCTTTTTTTCAGGAGGCAACTGGACTTCCTTGTTTTTTTTTCTTTTGAAGACATTTTGCTTCTCATCCAAAGAAGCTTCTTCAGCTCTGACTGGGAGGGTGGGGAATGGAAGGATTGAGACGCCTTGCAGACACCTGGTCCTTTGCATCCTTTTAGAGCAGAGGTGGGCAACTATGGCCCTTTTATGACTTGTGGATTTCAATTCCCAGAATTCCTGAGCTAACATGGCTGGCTCAGGGATTCTGGGAGTTGAAGTCCACAAGTCATAAAAGGGCCATAGTTGCCCACCCCTGTTTTAGAGGGTCGTTGAAGCACTTGGAGATTTATCTGTGTCCTCAGGGTCACCTGAGTGGTGCTCCTGGTTCCTGTAGTCTGCAATTTTTTTTCCTCTACTCGCCCACCATTCAAAGAGTGTTCATCCCAAATTGTGTAGCTAAAAATCTGTAGAGATTCTCCGTCATCCATGGTCATGGTGCTTTTTTCAGCAGGCAACTGGACTTCCTTGGGTTTTCTTTCTTTGAAGATCTTTCAAAGTCCAGTTTGAAACATCCAGTTGCCTTCTACAAACTTCCATCTCTGTTATTCTTCTGATACCCACCCTTCTGCAACTCCCTAGGTTGGCTCTTTCGGTGAGGAAGGAGGCGAGGGGAACTTTGCTTATGTTCAGAGGCTTTTTTTCCGCTCCGAGGCTTCGGCGGTGGGAGGGCCGTGGCTTTCGCGTGGCTTTGGTTCCTTCCCTTCGGTTTTGGTGGTCTCCTCCGGAAGGGGGGGGGAAAGGATCCTCGGGGGGGGGGGGGGGGGCTGAAGGAAAAAGGGGAGGAATCCCACCCCCCGGATTAAGGGGAAGGGAGGCATCCTGCTTGTAAACTCTGCATCTTTTGGGCTGCGAGATCTGCTCCACTTTCCATTATGGGCTGAGACTTGAGACCAGAGCTAATTAAATCAGGCGGATGCTGCAGCTTAATTACGGTTTACCTTCGGATGCCCCTGTGTGTGGAATTTGAATGCCTCTGGAAAGAAGGTGCCCAAACCCATTCCTCTTTTGGCCAGGAAAGACGGTGTAAAATGTTGCTCTTCTTACAAGATTGTGTGAATGGTGTTATTGCTTCCCAGGGAGGCAACTTTTGCTGTTTTCTGGTACAGATAGTTCTCAAGTTATGACTATTCATTTAACAACTGTTCAAAGTTTCTTCTTTTTCTTCTACTTCTACTTCTACTTCTTCTTCCTCCTCCTCTTCCTCCTCCTCCTCCTCCTCCTCCTCTTCTTCTTCTTGTAATTCTTCCAGCATTAAAATTAATATAGAATCTGGAAATATGCCGCAAATGTCCGTGGCTGGTTTAATAATTTGGAGAAAGAGCTGGAGGTAGTGGGAGGAAAGCATTGTTATTCCAGTTCTCCATAAACTTTCATGGCAAGCCAGCCTTTGAGTAATTTCTCACTTTACAACATGCATTTTGAGCCAAGCTGTCATTATTGTTGTTGTCCTCTTCTTCTTCTCCTCCTCCTCCTCCTCCTCCTCTTCTTCTTCTTCCTCCTCCTCCTCCTCTTCTTCCTCCTCCTCCTCCTCCTCTTCTTCTTCCTCCTCCTCCTCCTCCTCTTCTTCTTCTTCCTTCTCCTCCTCCTCCTCTTCTTCTTCCTCCTCCTCTTCTTCTTCCTTCTCCTCCTTCTCCTTCTCCTTCTCCTTCTCCTTCCTCCTCTTCCTCCTCCCAACATATTCCCACAGGTGCAGGATCTGCTTTTCGAATCATTGAACTCCACTTTGCACAGTCAGCTGCGTCTCCAGGGCACAGGCCCGCAGCTTACATCTCTTTGTTGATGGTGTCTTGCCATCTCTGTTTTGAGTGCCCGCGAGGTCACCGGCCATTGATTTCTAGTTTGTAGGCAGTCTTGGCAACGGTGGAAGATGCTATGCTGCTCTGTGTACATGTCCATACCAGCGGAGTCGGCCTTCTCTAGTCGTCTCTATGATTGGTGCCACACCAAAATGCTGTCAAATGGTGTCATTTGTGATGTGGTCAAGAAGGGAGAGGCCCCATATCCAACGCAGCATTCGCATTTCCGTGGCACGGAGAGAGCTTTCGGTCCCTGTTGTGGCTGCCCAGCATTCAGTGCCACAGGGCGGATGTTTGTCTTGTAAATCTCAGATTTAAATCGGGTTGGCATTCGTCTGTCACATGACAACTGTTCAAAGTTGCATCAGTGCTGAAAATCGTAACTTACAACAGGTCATGGCACTTATGACCAATGTAGTATTCCCCCCCCCCACACACACACACCGTAGTTGTTTTTTTTTTTTAATCCTGTGATCAAAATCAGGGTGCTTTGCACCCTGCATGCATTTACCACGGCTGCAGCATCCTGGGGTCCTATTTCTCAGCTGAGGAAGTACAGTTTAAAAGTATAAGAACTGCTTTTCTTTCCAGACAGTCCTTGTTCAAACCCTGGGAGAGTTTGGATTGGTTTTGACATTAGCTTATTTGTTCTTCTGGGGGACGCTGTGGCTCAGTGGCTAAGACGCTGAGCTTGTCGATCAAAAGGTCAGCAGTTTTTTTTTTTGTTTGTTTGTTTTTAAATTTGATTTATATGCCGCCCTTCTCCGGAGTCTCAGGGCGTCTTACAATGCGTTAAGCAATAGCCTTCATACTTTTGTATATTTATACAAAGTCAGCTTATTGCCCCCACAAACTGGGTCCTCAATTTACCCACCTTAGAAAGGATGGAAGGCTGAGTCGACCTTGAGCCTGGTGAGAATTGAACTCACAGTAATTGCAGGCAGCTGGATGTTAAATGCTGCCTTAGGAGGCATTATCCTCCTACGCCACTCAGGCTGTTACAGAGTTCAGCGGTTCGAATCCCTGGTGCCGCATAACAGGGTGAGCACCCGTTACATGTCCCAGCTTCTGCCAACCTAGCAGTTTGAAAGCACGTAAAAAAATGCAAGTAGAAAAATAGGGACCACCTTTAGTGGGAAGGTAACAGCGTTCCGTGCGCGTTTGGCGTTTAGTCATGCCAGCCACATGACCACGGCGACGTCTTTGGACAGCGCTGGCTCTTCGGCTTCGAAATGGACATGAGCACCGCCCTCTAGAGTCGGGAACGACTAGCATGTATGTGCGAGGGGAACCTTTACCTTTACCTTTATTTGTTCCTCTGCTCAAGGCAGCCCAAAGCAGCCATAGGATTTGGTCACCCGCCTAAGTGGGGCAGAAGGAAAACTGTACTTGGGAGCAGAAACTGCTGAGAGATTTGTGGTGCATTATTTATTTATTA